ATTTGGAGGCATCATATGGTTTATTTCTAATGCAGACTTATTCTTGGCAGTAAACGCATAGGTCGACGCGGCTGGTGGAGAGTGGAAGGAATTTGCAAGAGTCAACGATCCGGGTAAAACATGGCTTTGCAATTGTTGCTGCCGACAAAACGAGGGATTCTGGTGAGAAGATTCTGGCAAAGCTGCTGACGTCAGTATTGAGGAGCTGGTAACAATATGAGGTGGTGTGACCGCAGTTCCTAAGGAACTAGCCGGATTTGGTGGTGAAAATAATGTCACAGACACGCTATTATCTTTGTCAACTTGAACTGACAAAATGCCAAGAGTTCGTAGCGCGTCTGGCTTCTCGGCTGCAAGCCATCGGAGACGGTTGGCGGCACCTTGAGGTAGCCTAAATGTTACACGAACGCTATTCCATCTTTCAACCTTTTTTATCAAAAGTTCTTCACGATCTGAAAAACAAAAGAATCAGCGCGTACAGAAAACAGTTCACTGCAATATACAAAATTATGATTAACTTTACCACACGCACCGTACGGACAACGCCGCAAACGTAACCCACTCCATCTGGCGATAAAAAATTTTCCACATAAACTGTGCTAGATTCAATAAAAGCAAGAAAATCTTGTCGACAACGCCGAGCAGTTTGTTCCTGCAAAATTACTGTGTCCACAACAACTGAAAATGAACCTGACTGAAATGTCATAAACATTATGCTATAGACAGTGGAAAAACCCTTGTTACAACAACGATTATACGAAAATTTCATCAGATCAGACGAGCCATTAATTGTCGAACATCGTACACCCAGCATATGCAGCGTGTTGAACGAAATGACAGCGCTTTGCCGTAAACCAGAACGCATTAAATAAGCGGCGATGAACTGTCATTTTGTAATCAAGTGACAAAGATCGCCAGTTTTCTTTCAAGGATAAGTAACTCATTGCTTAGCAATCAGCTATACATTCGTTAGGCGCACTCAATAAAAGCAGTAAAGAACTACGAGAACGAACATGAAGCTGGAACAAGCACCCCCCTCCAAGGAAACCAAACCACGGATACACAGAGGCGAACAATGTCAAGCAGAGGCTATAGGTAACCAACGAAACAAAATTATCAGCTTGAACCAGGCGACAACGTCCATCTGAATACGAGTGCGTGCGGTAATCCGCAAAGAATAGTTAAATAAGTAAAAGAAAGTAAACGAAGCGTGAACGTGTACGTACCTTGCATAATAAGACAAGATACTTGCCTGTGTTCAACAACTTTTGCAGATTTCGTTTCACTTTTGCCAAATACAGATAAAATTCAGGATCTGACAGACTGCCACCGCAAACAATGGCAGCTTCACACCACCCGTTCATCGGACGAATGTTACGTTACCGGTTAACTGCAAAAGACAAAGCGATGCAACGGAAACGCGGAAGAAACGCACGTCAGAATCTAATAGCTTAGAAGGAACAAAACGAAGAAAACGACGCGGACGCACCGTCCGACAGTCCGCATATGCATCTGTTGGCTACCACATTAGCAATGGACCGAAAGACTGTTAAAAAATCGAACGTAAATCACGTAGGAACGCCATCCATAAATACCCTTACCATGCAAGCGACAAAGTTACCATTAGCACAGTCAGCAGGGTTGAAATCTCCCAAGAACGTCATGGAACGCCAAAAAAGTAAAAGTTGCCGTTACAATAAACATAAAAATTCAAAGACTATACGAAACAAATAAATATATCAGGCAAAAGACAGGCCATCTCGTTTAGAGTCTTCTAATATCGTAAATAACTGCGAGTATTACATTAATATGACTATATGATGCTTAAGTTAGAACCTGAGCTTCATTTTGACATGAACAACAGTGTTAAATCTTGCTGACGTTTTATGTATAAATACAACGCAATATGACAAGGCTAGTTATCTCGGCACTGTAAGTCCAAAAGAACGTTTGAATTGTAGCAGATTTTATACATTTTTATAATGTGAATGGTTGCAAATTAATTTCCATGTATTTTTTATTCGAAAACTGGGTATTTTATTCGTGCATTAGTGTACATATACGTGCGTTATGAACCAGACAAAGGTCATGTCTCCCTATGGTTAGATGCACGAACATCTTAAAGACCTGAAACTGGCTGTAAAGATTAGTCAAGGAAGTCTAAATCATGGAATCCTGCGAAAATGCCAACCGGACGAAAGGATGTGAATTACACGGATTGAACAAACTTAATTAAACCCGTTACCTAACAGCAACTTTCAGCGGCAGATTGGGAGAAAAGCACATCTTTGGCTCCAAGTGTCTGTAGATCGCAAACACAATTGTGGAAATCAATCCGGAGCACCCGGAAGAAAATTCTTGAGAGACGAATCGAAACGTCAGTACTTGTCAATCACCCTATTAACCAACTAATTTGCTTATGTTTTGAGTAAACATGCCGTTTTTATATTTTTTCAGCACATTTCGTATTGAATGAACAACACTTGAAGAGCAGATGTCATGAAACTACTCAAATTTAGTGTCCACGATGGGTTAATATTTAACAGCTTTTTGTTCATTTTATGGGCGCCGAGTTCAAAGCCGACTCGTGGCGCATATTTTTCTTATTAACTTTTAATTGTTAACTGCCAACTGTTAATAATAACTAACAATTTCTCCGAGCAAGAAAGTTCCTCAATTGTGTCTCTTTACAACGAGCCGAATATCAGTAGCAAGTCGTTAACCTACAAATAATACTGGTGGCATGCTGTTTTGGTGTAGTTATGCCAATACATGCGGCACATATGCACGATGCTTTCTGATGCGTTTGTATTGCGGCTGGAATTCGTTTCGACCCCTCTGACGGCTGATTAGAAATCAGTACAAAGTGTAATCGTAAATTTAAAGAATAAAGAGGAATCAAAACTGTCTGCCCTGTACAGGAAGATTTGAAGGGAAAAGACATTGGTCAAAGTAGAATTCAGAAGTAAGTTACTTAAATGAGCAGTTATTTTTCATCTACAAACTAAGCAGTTTTTAACGAATTTATGAGTGCGGGTTCAAGGTCTAATTCTGAGTGAGATTTGCAACAGTCTTGTTTAACATGGTGGTAAATCACTTGTAGAACAGGTTACATTTGGTCCTTCTGCTTTCGGTTTAAATAGATAGCTTTCATTGGTACCAAACTGGTAATTTAATTTTCGATGACAGGTAGTGCGTTTTGAATTAGCAGACTAAACCAGACTTTCATGTCTAAATGAGTCAGAAGAGTGACTTGATTCAAAGTGGTGAAGCAAGAACTATTGGAGCATAACGGAACTTCAGTATAATATGTTCTGTTGGGCAAGACCATTTTTATTTGCATTTCATATGCAGTCTATATGTTGTCAAATCATATATTCAGCTTCATACCAGTTTTTTCTTGAGAAGCTATGTGCAATGTTCAAATGTCTTGGATTTTTAACATATCTTCTAGCCTCTGCTGCCAATCATACTTTTGCCGTATGTTTTTGAGCTCTTTCGCTGAACCTTTCCAGTTTTCTATGTGCAATTATATCGTACTGTGAAAATGATATAATTCACTCGCCGTTTAGACTAATGGTGTTAATGATAAGGCATGGAGGTAGTAACTATTTAAACATCCCCAAAGAATTCTTCCAATCTACTATATAAAAACATCATGCCAAAAAACGAGGATGCAGTGATGCAGTGAGGGTATAGTGTATCGAATAAACTAGCAGTGCGAAGATAGAGCTACGCCAGGGTACCTGAAGAACCGGATAATTGAACATGTTCTTGTTTCAGAAGGACTGGTGAGAAGTGTCATGCCGTAGCTGAGCGCATCATATTAAATAACGATTTGCCGAAAAGAAAGCTTTTGGACGGACTCAATTTAATGGACAAAATGAAAGAATAGCAGACATGAGACGTTTAACTTGCCTTATTCGAGTGCGTGATTGGATTGTCAGTACGCCAATGCCTTTCAAAACTCGCGACTTTACCTGAAAACTCAAGACAATGCAACTGAAGCCAAATACCAAAGTCATTCAAAATGTACCAGGGAAAGCCATATCAACACCGAAACAGAGCTCTTCATTAAAAGAATCCGGAAGGTCACATACACCAAATTTACCCTACCAACAGATGGTTTGCTACCTAGAGATACAGGATGGCTGCATATTTTGCTTCACATTTGGCAGTTGTTGTGCACTTCGTGAATCCGAATTACACCATTCGGAAGAATGAATAAAAAAGAAAAATAATGTATTAATAGGAACAAATTTTTGTAAACTTTCAACGAAAGCCAATACCTAGATTTGCTTGGAACTTATGTTGAATAGTGTCTACAAATTTA